TCATTGCTATCTATCAAAGTGTTTGTCTACTTCTCTTCTTATACTTAACATTGTATTCATCATTTACTAAGAAGAGAAGATCTTAATTGAAAACTCAATTTAAATTGTGGGTTGTATTGTGGTCCCGAAAAACTCAACGTTGTAAAATGATCGGTGCTCCTTCGTTGTAAGTCACGAGAAGCATTGTAAAGGGTTAGATTGCACTATAAGTCAATTAACATAGTAATAAAAGCCTTGCTCGTGCTGGAGAGCTTGGTAATGGGGGATGTAGATCATTGCATTGTATCAAACCTACATAACTATATCGTTTGTACTCTCTATCCCTTTTACTTAACGCTCTTACTTTATACAAATTACATTGATTCACTTATTTGTTTACTTGTGGTTAGTTGTCTTCATTTATTTGCTCACTAATTATATTAACACTTGTGTTATTAACGAAAAAGTTTTAATAATCAATTCACCCCCCTCTTGGTTAGCCAATCTTGGACTTTCAAAATAATGTCAAAGCAACACCAAAAGAAATGTATGAAAAGTCGAGACAATAGTTGTACTCTTTGTCCTTAAGTTGAATTTGTCCCGCAACAGTACCTACGAATGATGGCAATCGACTCCCAAAATATAACGACAAACTTCTTATGTTAGTAGCACTTTAAAACACAAGAACAACGAACTGAAATTTTGTTTTTGTACTCCTTCAAATGGAAATGGACGTCTCAAGGGTCTAATTTGTAGAGGATAAAAGGATGGGAGTGAAGTGTTGTATCCCATACTCAGCAACATTTGTCAAGGGTCATAGCTTTTGCTGTCGGAAGCCTATTGCTCTTGTGTCGCTTGAGATTCAGAAATAGAGATTGTATCGCTCGAGCGCAGCCTACTCGCTGGAGCGCTGGGCAAGCGACAGAGTTAGACAAATTTCCAACCATTTTCATCTCTTTTATTCCAAATTTAGACCGTAATTTCCCATTCATTCATAATTGGTTTGGAGATTCCAAATATACAACGACGATCTACTCGATAAGTAGAACAAGTTAGTCTATTTACTTTCATAATTTGACTATCAGATCGAGTTTGAATATTTGGTCGAAGTTGAGACGAAAGTCAATTTTCATGATTTTATACCTAACTAATTCAAAAAAAAATGACCTCAATTTACAAACTCGTTGCAGCTCTTATTAAACACAGCTGTATCTCTTCATCGTCCCTTAAACCTCTTTATTTTGCACCAAACGAACAACCAATAACAACAAAACCGACGAGAATTGGCCTTTAATGAACAACCAATAACAACACACATAATTTACTCTCCGTGACACCTTCTGCACATCCACCACATTCCTCCAAGGTTTGCCGTCCATATTCACCTTCGACTTGTCCTACAATCACTGCTGCGTCAGCAAGACTCAACATTCTCAAAAAAACACCCATTTCTCTCATTCAGATCTTTGTAATTTTGATAACCCATTTATATACTCTTCAATGAGCGAGCTTTGTGCTCACTGTACAGCATCCTGCTACTGATAATGTAGATTAAAACCCCAAAAAAGCTAGTGTTTAATACAACCCTTTTAAATATGCTTCGATTGATATTGGTGAATCACAGTTGATGCAAGAGATTAAGTTATTAGAGGAAAATTTTCAAAGTCGTGGTCGCGAGAGATCCCTTTTGTCATCTAAGATATATAATATTGATGTGAGAATGAAGCCAGCTAGAAGAATTCTGGTGCAGGTCGTCAAAATTTTATTTTTGAAGTTTAATGTACGGAGAAGAACAAGAATTTGCTGTCAATTGGAAATTTGGAATTCAATTGGATTTTGATTTCATGTTTGTGAGAGTTGTTAGTTTTTTTATTTTTTATGTTAAAAATGTGTTTGTCATTTGAAAATCATGTCCCACTTTTTTAAGAACACGGTTCCAAATTTTCTAATTTTTTTTCTTTTTTTTTTTTAGTTTTAAAATATTTTTAAATGTGACTTGGATATTTTAGGTTCACATTTGGCATGTGTTTAACGGACATTAAAGGTCACATCAAAATTTGGTCTCTCACGTCAGCACTAAGGTAACAGATTTTTTGAGGGTGATGAATGAATTTCAAACGGGGAAAATTTCAATGAGTAAGTTGAAGCAGTTTGAAGTCCGTGAGCAATTCGTAACAATAGTATAAGTTGGGTGATCTTTGAAACATTTCACTCGGAATATATCAATAAAAACAATTTTGAAAAGTGATTTTAAAAACAGTATTAGGCAAACACTGTTGCCTTGCTTTAGGTTGTGGTCATGGATTGGTGTGCAGTTGAAATGGTTTTAAATCAGAGGTTCCAATCCAATTGTGGTTGACATGAAACATGCAAATTTTTTTTTTTTTCCCATAATTCCGTTTTGTTGAAAATAGGTGCTTTTTGTAAAGGCTGATTGAAGTAAAACCCTCCACCTATGAGATATAGTGTGCAAAACTCCCCCACATATAAAAATTAGTGAAATATGTCCCCATTTGAAACTTGAAAATTGTTTTACCCCCTACCATCCATTTTCTCAATAAAACGTTATGAAATGTTCAATATACTCTTTTATTTAAATAAACCAAAGAGAAAAATAAAGAATTAATTGTAACCATAGTCTAAATTTTTCAAAAAAGTACGAATGAATCTCAAATAAATAATTAAAAAAGACTAAAAAAAATCACTTTCTCTTCCTCTTTTTTTCTCTCCCACCACCACCATTAACCATCGCTACCACCGTCGTCACCACCGCCGCCATCACCACCACAACGTTGTATACAAAATAGAGGGTTGCCC